GCCAGCCTGAAATGCCCACAGTGCTGAGGCGGGACAGCCCTCTCTGTACACACTGCATGTGGCAGTGCCATTCATGCAGAAGGGAGCAAACAGACCACGGGCAGAGCCTGAGACAGGAGCGTGGGAACCATGCTTAAGGACATGCAAGGACAGCCCTGCAAAGGGCCTCATTTCTTGGAGATTTCTGGAAGGATTTTTGACTGAGGCATGGTAGGAAAGAGGACTCTGAACCAAGACTTGTGCCAGAGAAGGGACCACTCCCCTGAGCATTCAGATCTCACTCCAATGGCAGTGGGGAAGCCTTGAAGAAGATCAAGGGGATGATAAGATAGGACATACGGTTTAAGAGAGCCTGGGCTGTGGGCTCTAGTGTGGGCTGGAGATGCTGGGGTGGAGCGGCCTGCCCTGGGCTGGGGAAGGGTTCCAGGTGTGGGAAGTGAGGCAGCTGGGGCAGCTAGAGAAGCCAGGAGGAGGGGAGGACAAGTAGGAGTGGGAGATGGTCACAGCAGGGCTGCAGGAACATAGGAGCCCAGGCAACCTGGAATTTCAGATAAGCAGCGAATGGCTTAGTATAAGCATGCCTCATGCAACATTTGGGATATACTTATACCAAAAAAATTGTTTCTCTGAGATGCGTATGTAACAGGGCAGCCTGTGATTTTATTTGCTGCGTCTGGCAGCCCTAACCACAGCAGCTCAGGGGGTTAGGTGTTCCCTGTGGACATTCAGGAGATGGTGGGCAGGTGTCTGTACAGATCTAGCATTCAGAAGAGAGGTGTGGCTAAGACAGGCATTTCAGGTGACACCAGCATCCAGACAATGTCAAGAAGGGGCAGCTAGTGAGAGTAGTTGGAAACCGGCTTGGGCTCTCTGTGGGGAGCAGAGGAGGACAGAGAAGATGGGCCCCAGGCACCAGTGGGCACCTTGACCTGGCAGGTGGGAGAGGCCGGCAGGTGGCAGGGTCATGTGTGGAAGAGGTGGCAGCAAATGCAACCTGGTGAGGCAGAGACGAGATGAAAGCAAGTCCATTGAGGTTTGCTCTGCTTGCTGCCTTGTGGTTTACAATATGCAAACCTTTGCTTCATCTGGGATTGATCATGATTTTTTAGCATTTTTTAAGTCATTTGCTAAGTATCTTTTGGGATTTTTAATGGTAATTGCTCTGAATTTATTAACTGGTCAGGGAGGATTAAATAAAGACCCAGAAATAGCAGTCTGTTTCTCTGGCCTCATGTCTTCATCCGGGCCTTCCACAGGGGTCTCCTCCCGCAGATCATTTGCTCAGCATCTAGGAGTCTGGTGGGCTTTGACTGCTACCATGAGTAGGGTATTTAGTCCCCAGTTTAACTTTAGTGGCTATTGCTGGACTGTCTTGTGTATTTGCTTTGTGACTATCATCTCCCCGTGCTCCTTCTGATTCTGGCAGGGCTTGTTTCTTGTTCTCCCACCCGCGTTCTTCAGACAGGTCTTCAGATCATCTCTAACCAAGGGTAACTTGCCACTTCCACTCTATTTTACTTTTTTCTACAATTTCACAGTGCTGGAGAGCAGCTCGCTGCCAAGGAGGGGAGTGACAGCAGAGGCCCTCCTGGGTGGCAGACTGATGGCCGTAAGCTGCCCCTTGAACAACATGGAGCTGAGGCACCTACCTCCTGTGCAATTGAAAAGCTGTGTATAACTTTTGAGATTTCCCTAAAACTAATGGCTAGTTGCCTCTGATGACCAGAAGACTTACCAACAACATAATGTGGATTAATAGCCAGGCAAGGCGACTCACACTGTAATCCAGCACTCTGAGAGCCTGAGGCAGGTGGATTGCTTGAGCTCAGGAATTCAAAACCAGCCTAGGCAAGGGCAAGACCCTATCTCTACTAAAAATAGAAAAACTAGCCGGGCATTGTGGGCACCTGTAGTCCCAGCTATTCAGGAGACTGAGGCAGGAGGATCACTTGAGCCCAGGAGTTTGAGGTTGCTGTGAGCTGTGACGCATGGCATTCTACCCAGGGTGTCAGAGTAAGACTGTCTCAAACAAATAAAAATTAAAAAATAAACAGTGGATTAACACATTTTTTCTTGTTTTGTTTTGTTTTTTAGAGACAGAGTCTCACTTTATTGCCCTCAGTAGAGTGCTGTGGCATCACAGCTCACAGCAACCTTCAACTCCTGGTCTTAGGCGATTCTCTTGCCTCAGCCTTCCAAGTAGCTGGGACTATAGGCGTCCGCCACAACACCCAACTATGACACATGTTTTATACGTTGTATATATTATATATACTGTATTCATACAATAAAGTAAGCTAGAGAAAAGATAATATTCAGAAAATCCTAAGGAAGAGAAAACATTCTTTAAGTGGAAGTGGGTCATTATAAAGAATTGTCAAAAGATGGGTTGGTGTTGCTGTCTCAGGGATGGCGGAAGTGAAGAAAATCCAGAGGTAAGTGGGCCTATGTGGCTCAAACCCATGCTGTTCAAGGGTCAAGTGCTCTGCCATAAGCCTTCCAGCTTTCTCCTTTGGGGCCAGAAGCTTTCTTAGTTTGAGGGGGTAGCAAGCAGGAGAGGGATGGGAATTCATCTTTGTTTTTTGTTCTTCTGAGACAGAGCCTAAAGCTGTCACCCTGGGTAGAGTGCTGTGGCATCATAGCTCACAGCAACCTCCAACTCCTGGGCTCAAGCGATTCTCCTGCCTCTACCTCCCAAGTAGCTGGGACTACAGGCGCCCATCACAATGCCTGGCTATTTTTTGGTCAGAGCCATCATTGTTGTTTGGTGGGCCCGGACTGGATTCAAACCTGCCAGCTCAGGTGTATGTGGCTGGCGCTTTAGCCGCTTGAGCCACAGGCGCCAAGCCTGGAATGCAACCTTCATCAGGCTAAGGAAGACTCGTTTGAAAATCACGCCTAGCAGCTTGCTGAGTTGTGTGTTCCCTCTGTGGTTGGGAAGCTGCTGGCACTGATAGAGAAGAGCTGTGCTGTGCCAGGAAGCGTCCGTGTTTCTGGGGTGAGTGGGGTGCTCCTCAAGTCCCTGGGTGGCCTGGCAGCAGACTCGGGAGCCTGCTCATGAGTGTTTGGAGTTTTGCTTCATTATTCTTAGGTGAGATTGCTCCATACTTTCTTTTGCGGGTTTTATTTCCAGCATTGCATTTTCTTCTCAAGAGAAATGTGTGCTGTTTATCTGAGCTGGGACAGTCTAGAATGGGTGCTGGGAGTGAGCAGTTCCTCCGGTCTAAAGGGTCTTAACTTCATCTGCAGAATGATGGTGGCCAGGTCCTTTGGGGCCATGAATATAACTGGCAACCTTTTCGGTCTCTTTCACAGTTGAGCTGTTTCGTATTTTCTTACGAATGCATCTTCTTTACCCGTCATGTTCTATTGACACTTACCTTATTTTTCTAGTTCTTTTGCATTTGTGGATGGTTGCCCTTTTTGTGAATTGGCGTTTTCATGTTGTTTCTTGATTAGAATGGACAGTGATTAACCTCTATAATTAGACTCCTTCCCTCCCAGCACCAACCCAGTTCTTGAGTTTACTTACTCTGCTTTTATCCTTAAATGCCTGATCCATTTGTTCTTGTCCTTCCCAGTGTAGGAATGAAACGTGCTTGTCAGTCCTCTTTCTGGCATCTTGGCTGCATCCCCTGAGTTTTTGTCTGTCTTGTGCCCATTGTTGATATTTTCTGGATTTTCTGTGTCTGTGGTTTCTATTTCCTCTTTGATATGTGAATTTCTTGGAAGTGAGGTTTTATAAATCCCAGTGGCTCAGGCTTTTTGGTTTCTCTCCCAATTGCTAGTTTTATTGTACTGTGGCCAGGAAACAGATCGTGGACCACAGCCACTACTTAGCATGTGTTGTGGGTCCCTTCCTGGTCTTATAAAAGTTTCCTCTTATAAATGTCCCATAAATCCATGGGAAGAGTGTGGAATTTTTATGTGTCACTTATAGTCAGCATATTAAGTTATAATATGTTGTCCTCTATACCCCTATTTATTTTAGTCTTCCAGATCTGTGAAAATTACATTAAAAGCTCACACTGCTTTTGTGATTCTGTCAGTTTTCCCTGTGGTTATATTCCTGGATGCTCTGCCAGATGATCTTTTTTTTGAGACTGGGTCTCGCTCTGTTATCTATCTGTGCTAGAGTACAGTGACGTCATCATAGCTCACAGCAGCCTCAAACTCCAGGGCTCAAGGGATCCTCCTGTCTCAGCCTCCCAAGTAGCTGGGAATGCTGGTGCCCCCATTGCATCTAGCTAGTGTTTCCATTTTTAATAGAGATGAGTCTCACTCTTGCTCAGTCTGGTCTCAAACTCCTGGGCTCGAGCCATCCACATGCCTTGGCCTACAAGAGTGCTAGGATTATAGGTGTGAGCCACTGCACCCAGCTGACTTCTTAGGGCTTAACCTTCTCTGTCTCATTCATTGCTTTTTAATTGTATTTTTAGCTCTGGTAAAGTACACACAACATGAAATTTACCTTCCTAACCATTTTTAAGGATACAGTTCAGTGGCATTAATACACTCACATTGATATACGATATCCCTCTCCAGGACTCTTGTTGTCTTGCAAAACTGAAACTAACCCTTCATTCCTCACTCCCCACCAGGCTCTGACACCCACCATCCTACTTTCTGTCTCTGATTTCGACCACTGCAGGGACCTCATGTAGGTGGAATCATACAGCATTTGTCCTTTTATAACTAGCTTCTTTAATTTCCTTAAGGTTCATCCATGTTGTAGCGTGTGTCAGAATTTCTTTCTTTTTGAAGGACAAATACTCCGTTTGTGAGCACACACCACCTTTGTCTGTCTGTGATGCTGCCGTGACGTGAGTACACAGATCTCTTTGCTTTCTCTTCTTCTAGATATACACCCCAAAGTGCAACTGCTGAATCAGACAGTAATTCTATGCTTCACTTTTTGAGGAACCAAATACCGTTTACTGTAATGGCTGCCCCACTTTACATCCTGCGAACCCTGCGCAGGGTTCAGATTTCTGTACATCCAGGTGTGGTGACACTTCAGTCATGCTGCAGACGCCTAAGTCCACAGTGGGGAGGCCAACCCAGGGGAGCTGAGCAGGAAAAAACAGAAGAGAAGTTTCTCTACATCCTTGCTAGAACTTTTTATTTCCTGAGGGGTTTTTGTGGGGTTTTGTTTATTTGTTTTGATAGTAGCCATCCTAAAAAGTGTAAGGGGCCATTCATTATGTTGTATTAGAATTTTGGTGGGTGGTGGTCCTGAGCATGACCCAAGCCAGGGAAGAGGATGGAGCAGGTGGTGGGGGCCCCTATGCACAGAGAGTCTGTGACAGGGTGGCAGGAGTTAGGAGGCAAGGGCAGAAGCTGCTACACTGATGCCAGTGTGTGGACACCAAGGATGTAGGGGAGGGCCACCAAGCTGTGTGCAAGCCCCGCACGTCCAACACAGATCAGGCACCTCACAGGACAGCAGCACCTCTGGGGACAGTAGGCTGGAATGTCATCCTTGTCCTGGTCTGCAGGCTGGCTGGGAGGATCAAAATCAGACAGAAAGAGCATTGGCGTGGTGAAGGACTCACTGGGCCCGCAGCTGTGTGAGCAGGAAGTGAACAGCCCGGGCCCAGGAGGGCTACCCCTTCCCTTACTCCCCTTCCACTGGCTGTTCAGAGCTTGAGAAGCTGCAATGAGAGTGGGGACAGAGAATGTCTGAGGTCAGGGTCAGCAGCCCTTCTGGAGAGGCCTGTGGACAGAGAGGGGCCAGAGTGAGAGAAAGTTCAGAAGGACCACAGTGGGGAGACATCCAGTGTGCAGAGGACACTGGGCCATCGTTGACACCTCACTCATTGACTGTGGTACCTGAACAGACCAGGTGGCCACACAGGAGCACAGGGATGAATCGTGGTGGCCAAAGGGGCCCTGCTCTGGAGACCTTGACACTGGGGAGGCAGAATTGGGCTATTCACGGTTGGGAGCTCCAGGTTCCTCCTCTACCCTGCCCGCACCGTGCTGAGTGGTTCATCGTCTGGAAGGGGCATCTCCAGACTCCTTCTGTCCTGCCCTGCCCTGCCAGGACCATGGATGCGGGTGGGACCTGGGCAGCGCATCTTCTGGAAGTGCTGAGGACCTGATCTAGAGCCTGATCTGGAACCCACGCTGCTTTCTATCCATCTGTACCCACTCTGCTCCCGGAAAGAATTTATGGTGGCTTTCGGTAGGGCCACGTGCGTCAAAGGTGCCAAACTGTGACGCTACATCAAGGGCACTGAGAGGAGACAACAAATGCTTATCCAAAACCATCTAGGAGAGCCAGGCTGAGGAAGGGTAAAGGTCGTCAGGCCAAAACCCTCTGAGCTTCCAGAGTGGAGCAGAGGGCAAGGTTGAGAACCCCTCTGGCACAAGCCCAGGCCCTGAGACCCTGAGCTCGGCCATGCAAAGGGCCCCTCCTCACTGGGCGGACGCCAGGTTCCTTCCAGTTTGTTGTTCTTGGTTCTTGTTTTCTCTTTTCAGAGTGGGTAGCCTATTCAGAGCAAGGCATGTGGCTCTTGGGGACATGGCTCCCGAGTGGGTGTCACTGGGGAATCCTGGAAGTGGTGGTTCCCACCCTGTTGGCCTCTGCTGGGCAAGCAGGAAATGACTGGAGGCGACAGCAAGGAGCCGTAGGCCCAAAGTCTTCCCAGTGACTGCCAGAGAAGAGCCACCGGAATAAGAGACAGTGTTTTACAGATTATATGTTAGGGTTTTAACCTGTGGCACACTCAGAAGGGCACAAGGCAGAAAGTGAAGAGCACATGTAATCACACCGCTGAGAGAACCCGCTCTCTCCCTTTATGATTTTAAATATCCCACTGACCTAGACTAAAACCAAATAAAGGTTCTGACATATGTATACGCCCAGAACACCCGCACCACACCCAAGTAAATGAACATGAGTACTTATCACCTCCAAGCATCCTCTGCCCTTGGTTGTGTCCCTGCTGGCCCCTCCCACTGCTTCTCCCCTACCCCTTACTGGCCACCAGGCCACAGTTCCAAGGGTCTGGGCTTGAATGTCCCATGAGTTGCTAAAACCCCACAGGGGCAGGCTGCTTATTGTGAGTGGCTGGGTCCATGAAAGCTTCCTTTGGAAGTCCATCTTTTTGTCCTGGGAGGTCCCCAATTCATAGGTAAAGAAACTGCTGCTCCAGAAGTGGAGAAACTCCTCTGGTCGGGGTAGCTCCTCCGGGCTTTGAGCGAGGCTGGCACAGCAACAGAGGTTCTGTTCTAGTCTGCAACCCCATGGTGCAGGGTGAGCAGGCTGCTCTGATGGTGACAGTTCCAACTGCCCACCACCCTGGCCTGGAAGAAGACAGTGGGCAGGTATGAGGTCCTGTCTGCGAACATAAAATGTGTATCAGCAGGATTAGTCTTTCCTGCCCAACTATAGGCACAACCCAACACACCTACCAGCTGGCTGGCACCTCTGTGCCCATCTCTTTAGATAATTCAAGTCCCTGGCGGGCAATATCCTGGGTCCCCTTGGGGGACTTGGCAGCCCTGCGGACGCAGCCCCTGTTTTTAGCCTCTGAAGGAAGGAGGCTTGTGCTGGAGGACCACCCCAACCCCTGCCTCTCATTTCAGGGTAAGTTTCCTGCTGGGGGGAGAACGGCCCTTTCTCTGAGCTCCCTCCTCTCCCACAACAGTGAATTCCTAAATTATACACAACTCCAGGGAAGCTCCTATCTTAACACGCCTGAGGGACGAAGGCTGCCTCAGCACACAGCTCTTTAAAGACATGAGTTATGAATGATTACAATTATATCACACAGGAATGAGACCCATTTGGACCAAACGGCTGCCAAGTTTTTAAATTTGGCAACTCTATTCAGTTTTGAAACGGTGATGTTTCCTTTCTCTCCAATGAAAGAAATATGTGGCTTACTTAAGAAAAATGACATGTTCTCCTATATCTAAAAGTGAACCTGGTTTCCAGGTTCCTCTGAACAGCTGCCCTGGCCTCAGCCCAGCTGTAGGGAAGAAAGAGCAGGGGATGGGTTGGGCTGGGCACGGCAGGTTCTGCCCTTGGTAGGCAGGAGATGGCTCAAAGACAGGACCATCTGTCTGGCGAGGTGGCCTGGCTATAGGACAGGACAGCCACTGAGGGCCAGGCAGGTGTGGGGACAGGCAGCTATTCACAGCCTAGAGGGCAGCAGGAGATTGAGTGGAATGTGTCAGGGAGGCCTGCCATAACTGGGAGAATTATGGCCTGGGGTCTTCCTCCATGGAGCACATCCCAACAGGGTGGAGGGGACAGTATCATTCTTTGCAGCCCCCAGCACTCCCCTTGACTGTTAGGGATGCCCACCAGAGGAGGCAGCTGGGGCTCTTTGGGGACTGGCTCTGCAGCTCCTGCTTCCCCAACTCTCCTGGGGCCTTGAGAGCCGCCCAGGTGCTTGTACCAGAGGCCTACACTGCTCACAGCTGGCTTCTGTTGTGTGCAGCCAAGGCTGGGCACAGAGAGGCACGTTCAGCTCTGTGACTCTTACAGTGTGGGAGGGGCCTCCAGTGAAACCAGCCTGCCCAGGGCAGTTAGACAGCCGGGGGGACCCTGCTTCGCTCCCCTGCAGAACATCCACCCATCAGGTTGGGTACAGCTTGCTCATTTGTTGGCTCCTGTGAGAAACGTTTATGTGCAGAGCAACTCAGTGCCAGGGTGGACACACGCATGAGTCAGGAAGGAGTGGGAGGCGAGTGGGCAGCACCGAGGTTCTGAGAAAAGAAAGCAGCATCTACCTGCCCAGGGGAGGGTCTGTGGAGGGGCCTGAGAGGCTTCCCTTAGGTGGGGACAGCCAGAGGCCTCTTGGAGGAGGGCAGGTCAGATTGGGGCCTGGGGTTTACTAGGGAATGGCATCCAGGTAGGGAGCAGTGAGAGACAGACAGACAGATGGCCCTCCAGCTAGCTGGACAGGAGGCTTGGAATTCCTCCTATGAGCTAAGTTCATGTCTGAGTCTCCAGCCACCTGCCCCTTCTTAAGAGCCCAGAGTGCCTTGGGACACTGCTTTTGCCTATGTGCCATCCTGGCCCAGGTCCCCAGAGGCACAGGCCTTGGCCAGGGTTGGGTCCCTAGAGCTGCCCAGGCAGAGCACACATGGGGCTGACTTGAGGGGGCGCTGCCCGTGCTACTGGCGTTATGCACGTGGCCATGTGTCCAGCTGGGCTCCTGGCCCTCTGTGGACGCCTTAAGCCGCCATCAGTCTGTCTGTCCCTTCTGTCTAAGTCAGCTAGTTGGCTGTTGCCTAAACCCAGGAACCATTTTCTGCCTGTTCTCTCCTAGGTCCACACAGCTGGCTCTTTGTGTCACCTCTGCCCCATCTAGGGCTTTAGATTTCCTGTTCACCACTCTCAGGCTTGTGGCTGGGGGCTGGGCCAGTGGCGGGGTCTGCAGTTTGTGAGGTCGTCCATCCTGTCTCCAGCCAGTGGGCCTCTGGAGCAGCGCTACAGGCCACGCCCCTCGCCCTATCACCCACCGCCTCTCTAAGACCACTTGCTTGGTCCCCTTCTCTCCCACCCCCTCCCTAGGTCTGCCTGAGGCTTGAGCATGGACCCAGTAGGCACAGGGCCTCCGGAGGTGAGGCCTGGGTTCAGCTCACACCACACCATGCCCCACCGTAGGACTTTGGGCTTGTTCCTGAACTCTGAAGCCTCAATGCCCCTGGTGAATTGATGATCACAGTGAGACCCACCTTTGAGGTAGCTGTGTGTGAGGAGCTATGGGTGTGCCTGGCACATCAAGGGGCTTGATTCCAATTCCTCTGCATTTTACTCTGGAATACCAGGGATCACTCAGGTTCACATCCCTCCCTGGACCATATTCCGAAATTGGGACTTAAGAACCCCTACCCATCTGCCTACCCAAAGCTGCTGGCCTCTCCCTGAGGGGCCACTCTGCCACTGCCCCGGTGGGCTCCCTGGGCCCAAGGGCTGCAAGAGGCAGCTTGGTGTCCATACTCAGGAAACCGAGGGTCAGCCCCCCCCCACCCCTAGCATTTGGTAAGGACCAACAGGGAGCCCGGGAATTCGCAGTGTAGCCCTGGCCTCTCAGATGCCTCCAGCAGGTAGGAAAGGCTGGGCTGGCAGAGGCACTCCATGGGCAGAGGAGGCTGCTGGCGTAGCCTGAGGGGAAAGGGAAGCACAGGGAGGGCAAAGGTGGCCTGAACAAGGAATACACAGACACCCCGGCTGTCCCACCTGCCCCATCCCTCCACGTGTGCTATGGGAGGGGAGCAGATTCTGGTTTCACGCAGTGCTGCTCCACTGTCGCTATTGCTCTTACACCTGTGTCAGGAAGGAACATGTTTCAGTTTGTCCGCTTGGTTTATAGCCAGCAAATAACAAAATACAGAGAGGTGCCAGCAGCTCCGGGGCTGGGTGGCCTGGCCCCCAGGTACACACTGAGGCAGGTCAGCCACAAGCTTGGAGGCTGCAGACCTGGGTTCACTCCCAGCAGTTCTTGTTGCCTTGGTCTCCACACCTGTGAAGTGATGTGTCGGGAGAACCACAGCAGGGGTTGATGTGAGGATGGATGAGATCATTCAAGAGCCAGTGCCTAGTGCCTTGTTACCTGCAATGAGAAGTCCTCTGGCCCTGCAGGGAGTGGTGAGGACACTGCCTGTGCCTTTGAAGACAAGGGGGGTCTTTGTGGGGACACAGAGTGATGATGATGGAAGAATCTGGTCAGAACCGCTCTGCAGGGACCACTCAGACACCTGTCCTAGTGGTGCTCCTGAGGTGGGAACAGGGGTGGGGGCCTTGGGGCTGGTGGTCACAGTCTTGGCATCTCTGTTGCAGCCCATCACATCTTCCTGGTCACCGCCTGCAAGGAAGCCCAGTCCGGTGTCCTCATGCAGGAGATTTGCCTCTCCCGGTTCAAGGTGAGGATGAACGCCATCGGGGAGAGGCTGTGGTGCCACTGGGGCAAGACTATCAGGTAAGTCCCTTCCCCTGGGACACCCCTGGGGCAGGAGCCTGGCCCACAGGGACATCCCGTGGTCAGGTCAAGGCTGTCCCTACCACCCCACCCATACCTCCCACTAAGGCTTCCGATAGCTGTGCCCTTTCCCTGCTTGGCCTGGCCATCCTGCCAGAAGGTTCTTCTTACCCTGGGGGACTCTCTCATTGCCCCCTCGGCCTCTTGGGCCCTAGACACCCCTCAGCAGGCGTGGGGTCCTCCTCTGTTTTCTGGAGCAGAGATGAGAACATGGCATGTCCAGTCTTTGTCTCTACCTCTGTGTGCCAGAGTGGGGGGGCATCCCAGGGACCCCATATTAAGAAACTGGGTCAGCAATGCCCCTCAGGAGTGGGGAATCCTGGGGGCTGGGCTGGGAGGGTGTTGCAGAGGGAAAGTCTAGTCAAGGTCACACACAAAGCGCACTTGGCTTTGCTGTCTTCCACAGGTCCTAAGCACATCGCACAGACCCTGTGGGATTCAGCTCCCTACTTGGGGCTCATGGGCCCTCCCTGTGGGGTGCAGCCCAGGGTGGGGTGGGGCGCGCCAGGGCCAGCCCTTCCATCCACAGGTCCATGAGGCGAGGCACTATGACGGCCCAGCCCTAGGGTGTCCTCTTGTCTCACCAGTGGGTGGACATGAGCCCTGTCTTTCTACTCCCAGCAGCCACGTCCTGCAGGCAGAGCTTGGGGCTCCTAAGAGGACACAGCTGACCAGGGAGCCCCCTTCAACCCCACGCCTGGGGTGCCCTCAGCAGGGTCTCCTTAAAGAAGGCCTCTTTAAGGCTTCAGGGTCTTATTTTCCAGGCTGAGAAAGGAATCAGGAGTTAGAATTTGAGGGGTGAGAGCTTGTTACAAATCAGAACAGCCCGTTCTTTAGGCTAATTGGCCTTCTGCCTTGGCTGAGTAATCTGTACTTCAACTGAACTCACATCTGATTATGATCGGGGAAGGCACCACCAGGAGGACCCTGGGAAAGCGCCCTCCACCTGTTTTCCATGGGCAATCACTGATTGGCATGGATAGATTGCCCCAGGAGGCCTGGGGAGGCTGGGGAGGGCAGCTGGCAGCACAGGCCATGTTCCGAAGGAAGTGACGTTATGTCTTGGGGCAAAGAGCACTGGCCCCTATTAGAGCCTTGTGGTGGCAGCACAGCTGGTAACAGGATGGGGAGAATGCTGGGAATTTTATTTAATAAAAAAATCAAAATAATTTGCAGCATTTTTTTTTTTTTTGAGACAGTCTTACTTTGTCGCCCTTGGTAGAGTACCCTGGCATCACAGCTCACAGTAATCTCAAACTCTTGGGCTTAAGCGATTCTCTTGCCTCAGCCTACCAAGGCCCCGCTATTTTTAGAGATGAGGTCTTGCTCTGGCTCAGGCTAGTCTGGAGCTTGTGAGCTCAGACAATCCACCCGTCTAGGTCTCCCAGAATGCTAGGATTATAGGCGTGAGCCACCGTGCCCGGCCAATTTGCAGCATTCTTGAGGCAGAGTTTCTTAGCTACTTAAGGCATGTTAATTGACTAGAGGGGCCTCACATACACACCGTCCAGGGCCATTTTCTCAAGACATTTGAGTGGAAATATCACCCACATCTCCAAAATGCCCCACACTGACACCTAAGGATGGATAACCAGGCACCTGGCTCAGCCAGGGCAACACACAAGCTCACATCACACCATGGTGCTGAAGCTCCAAGCTCTGATGCTCCAAGGTGTGCTCAGAGAACTGCCCTTTCCCCGCCCCCAACCCCCTTTCCTGCCTCTCTCATTGCTTACATTTGGGTCCCACCCATGTCCAGTGGGCAACTCTTCTGGTTAGTTTCTGGGGTTTCCTTCCTATATCTCTTTTGTACAAGGGAGCAGATGTGTACAGTTTTCCTCATATCTTTGTCTGTCTTACATAAAGGACAGTCTACAGATGATATTGTTTACACGCTGGTGGGTTTTCCTTTTCCCTTAACAGTATATGCTGGAAATTGTATTAGAGCATAGAGAGTGTCCTCAGTGGTTTCCACGGCCGTGCAGTGAGCCACTGTGCAGAGGTTTTGGCTGTTTCCTGTGACCCCGTCCTCAACGTGCGGCCAGTGCCAGGAAGGGCAGCCTGGGCACAGGGGCTTGGCAGCGCTGCAGCTGTCTTCAGGGCAGACACTCACAAGGGGAGCTGCTAGGTCAGAAGGTAGGGGCTGTGTCCCCCAGGAGGCTTAACCAGTCCCATTTTACCAGCAGCGCAGATGTCAGAGTCCTTGCTGTATGGTTAGTGAGGGGCGGCATCCCGTGCTCTGTTAACCTGTATTTCTCGCATTACCAGGGAGTCTGGACATCGTTCATGCGTCCACGGGCCTTCTATCTTCTCTTTTTGATTTGTCCTTGTCTTTCCATTTTCTGTCAGGTTTCTGGCCCCTCTTAAGGAGCTCTTTGTATGTGAAATGAGACATTAGACCAGGCCGCCTCAAACTACGGCCCGGGAGCCACATGCGGCCTGCCGAGGACAGTTATCCAGCCAGGTGTTTTTGCCACTGCTGCCTGTCCTGCTTAGCAGCTGACTCGTCCCGGGGCCCACAGTCCGACCCTCCAACTGAGGGACAGTGAACTGGCCCCCTGTTTAAAAAGTTTGAGGATCCCTGTATTAGACCTTTGTCTCTGATATCAGTGAGGTTTTTTCTCCTCGTTTGGTGGTTGTCTTCTGACTTGGGTGTTTCTGTTGCCATGCCTGCAGTCAGACCCACCAAACGTCCCTCCCCTTTGGGTCTGAGTCATGGGAAAGCTGTCCTCCACACCAGGGTTAA